TATAATATTCTCTTTTTGTTTTAATTTCATTATTTCTATATTTTAAATAAGTAAAAACTTGAAATACGATATTATATATATATTTTATATTCCATTTAGGTCCAATTGATTTCCATTTGTCCATTTGGGTCCATTTGTGTTCCATTTGGGTAAATCGACGCACCCTAAATCTCCTTTTCAAGTGCGACTGTGTGGGATCACGAGGAGATGCAGACATAAGTACAATGGAAGAACTAGAGAATTTAAAGGAGTCTTCTCAGCCAACTAGTGAGGAGTCTTCACAGCCAACTAGTAAGGAGTCTTCTCAGCCAACTAGTGAGGAGTCTCCACAGCCAACTAGTGAGGAGTCGTCTCAGCCAACTAGTAAGGAGTCTTCACAGCCAACTAGTGAGGAGTCTTCTCAGCCAACTAGTGAGGAGTCTTCACAGCCAACTAGTAAGGAGTCTTCTCAGCCAACTAGTGAGGAGTCTTCTCAGCCAACTAGTGAGGAGTCTTCACAGCCAACTAGTGAGGAGTCTTCACAGCAAACTAGTGAGGAGTCTTCACAGCCAACTAGTGAGGAGTCTTCACAGCCAACTAGTAAGGAGTCTTCACAGCCAACTAGTGAGGAGTCTTCACAACCAACTAGTGAGGAGTCTTCACAGCCAACTAGTGAGGAGTCTTAACAGCAAACTAGTGAGGAGTCTTCACAGCCAACTAGTGAGGAGTCTTCTCAGCCAACTATTGAGGAGTCTTCACAGCCAACTAGTGAGGAGTCTTCACAGCAAACTAGTGAGGAATCTTCACAGCCAACTAGTGAGGAGTCTTCACAGCCAACTAGTGATAAGTCGAACGGAAGTTCCAGTTCTGATTCAGACATATTCACGAAGGCCACGTCTGACTGGGATTCTCATTACGTAGATAAATTAGGAGTGGAATTCACCGAGGCGGGCATGAAAGATATAATCTATTTCATTAATTTCGCTTGGACTTAACCCCTTAGAGATGGCAAAAATTGAAAATAAACATCCTTACCTTAAAAAAACGTAAGTGCGCATTGGTTTTATTTTAGATCGCAAATACAATCTCATTGTATCAGTCCTCAAAGGAATCTGAGATTTCTCTGAATCTTACCCCTGCCTTTATATTGTGACATTATCAGATTATTCTCTTTGATATATACTTGCCCACCAAAAAACAAGTTATAATATTTTATTTATATGTTCAAACAACCATTTAGAGGCTAACATTTTCCCATGGTTTGATTTAGATAGAATGTTCTATCGTTAAAATGATATTGTTCTTCGGACCCGGTTTAACGATAGAATTCGTTCCGTGTATTCGTAATGTAGCAGAAAGAAACAAGTGCGATAGTGCATTTACTAGGAACAATCTAGAGAGTTCCGAATGTAAACATTTGAATGGAAAGAAAAACGTTGAGAAAATTAATTGGATTTACGTATTTATATGGATTATTTTTTGGGTTAAAAGGCATAAGCAATCTCAAGAAGGTTTGTTTTGATTATTTTGGTAGTTATTCCCAGTGCATATCATTTAATATTCTTCAAATCGTTTCGGAGCGGATCCGCTCCGATTTGCTACGTTGCAAGTATATGGGACGAATTCCAAGTGTGATGAGGGCCTGTACCGAGACACAGAATATTCTAACTAGGTTTGATTATGCTTGACACCCCCCCCCCCATTCCTCCAGTTAAATTATTTCTGATATAATAAATAATGTATTAATCAGGTCCAGCACAATCTCTTGATTAAGGCTTACTAGAGAGATTGTGCTGGACCTGATTAATACAATATTTATTATATCAGAGATAAAAATATCATAAATAATTTATAAGCTATGTACCTGAACTAAGCAATTTTATCACACTTTTTTCGCAAATGTTTAATTTTTCAGCATGTGCAAAAAAGTTGCACCTTGGTGCAGCGGAAATGATATGTTGACAGTGTGACCGTTTGGGCGAGCACAGATATTTATTTTGTTAAAATTTAGATCGGGTTCGTCAAACTGCACTGTGACATATGGTGCGTCTAGTACTGACTAGACTCTGACATCACATGATGTCATTATAAGAAATTCTCATTACCTTCATGATTGTCATTTTGTGAATGCGGTATTTGTTGTTTACATTGCCTTCAATTTTAAGATGTGTGCAATTACATGACCATCACTGATCAGACGAGCATATCCCTCGGCCTTTGCATTACTATGACTACTGCTTTCAAGTTGTTGTCGAATAGCTTTATATCCTGAAATGATTTTAGTTTATGTGACTTTCGATGATAAAGAACTATATGCGGTATTAACCAACATTTGCCCCCCAAAATCAAACTTTGATGGAGTTATATTTGATTAAGTCCTTAAACAGGGGAGTATATGCTGACTTCAAAGCACTGAATAATTTCATAAGTAATGACGTCATATGTACGTAATGACGTCACAAATATGACGTAAATTTCAGTTTTTTTATGAATTTTGGAGAAAAATGTACATATTTCGTCGATATTTTAAATAAAAGTCACCGAGCGCATGTTTGTTCAGGATTAAAATTTTGATATAATGTGTAGAATGATAATATCAATGAAATATGTCAATATTGTTCCTGAACACACATGCGCTCTATAAATTCTAAAGCTTAAATTGTTGAAATTTTGTCCATTTTGTCCTCTTTCTGAAAATGGATATAAAATCGGACTAGTGTGTGACGTCATAAAAACAGATATTGTGAATACACTGCTCTGGAACTATAATATTTTCTGTTAACTTATATTTTTCGTACAATTTATTGAATTCAGCACATTTCAGGAAGTTTTCAAAATTTGACTTTTGTGGGGTCAAACATATGCAATATACCGCATATAGTTCTTTGACTATAATTTTGAAATATCTGCATGAATTTACCCTTTATCAGTACTGTAATTGACCTGTACGTGTGTGGCAACCACCTTGTTCCACCTTCCCTCGTAGGCAAAACTGTTTCACTTCTAACGAGGCAAAACTTCGCTGGAGGGCCTTCTTTTGTGTTGGACTTTTGTGGTAAAGGTAAAATAGTCCTATGAGTAATGTCATGCATTTGGTATACAGACTTGGTTGGCACGATTTTATTGCATCTTTGAAACTCAATTCAAGACGATGGGCTAGACAATGCACAACAACTAAATGGGGTCTTGTCTCCTTCAGCAGTGCACCAAGTCCTGATTTACAGCCTATAAAAAATAATAAGACTATTGATTTTTCATTTAACTTTCATTAAAAGTCATGATCGTGGAAAACAAATAAGGCAATACTTATCATTAAATTTATCATTTAATGTATCTTATCAGTTTTAAAATTACTAATAGGTATGACGTACCTTGCATGTTAGATACCCCGTCTGCACAAAAACAAATAAGCTTGTCTTTGAACACATCATGAATCTCAAGGCTTTGGAAGGTTTCCGCGAACATCAGATGTAGATCACTTGCTGAAGTTGAGTTGGGACTCCAAATGTGCAAATACATGTCTTGAACGACCCCTTTGTTACAAATTCTCACATAAATGTTTTCTAACTCATCCCCTGTAAAGTCAGTCACTCCATCACATGTAAGGGAAAAAACAAACTGTTACGTAACTTTTCACATACTTCTGATCTTGTAACTGCTGCAATGTGGTGTATCATTGTAGCTGCAGACTTGTCATTGAGGTACTGTTCTCCCACATTAAGACCCTTCATCTTGTCCAACTGACAAATAAATGTGTAGTCCAAAAAACTTTTGTTGTGCTTCGCTATAGCATGGGCCGTTCTAAATTTGATAGCCATTTTGTCATAATCGGCTTTTTTAAGTTGCAGTAGACATTTTGATGCCAGACTTTCTGAGTGAGGTTTTAAAAGGTACTTTGATGTAAAGTGTTTTTGCCACTTTTATTCCTCGTGGTCTTTTACAGCGTCGATTCGGAAATGATTAGAGCCTGATGTAAACTTACTCTGCACACCTTCTTTTTTACACCATGCACAAGACATCAGATTGTTTTCCGAGTCATACAACAGCCATGGTCTGTCTTTCTGCCATTTGGTGCTGAAACTTTCTGACACGTTTTTGTTCATAATTCAATTTTGGTTCACTTGCTGGTCTTTTGACCGGTGTAGCTGATTTCAAAAATGGTATCATGACTGCCCCTCAATCACGACTACACGTGGCATCGATGTATGTCTCGTAATTTAGCAACTATATATACAATAGGTTAAACTAAACACTTCAATGATTACGATCGACGCTTATTTGACAAGTCGTACCGAGAATGTAGAGCGCACATAACAAGTTTTGCGAATGACTTAGGTACGATGGACGAAATGACAAGTAAACATTGTATGACGACAGAAAATGTACACATGCCCTCCGGGCATGTAATTTAGCAAGTTTTACATGCCCGCCTGCAATTTTTCCTGGCCCCGGACATCGGACTCCCGAATTATTTCGAAAACTGAATTGTTTATTTTCATTTGTGTATCAATCTTTCGTATATTATGACCATATCCACTTAGCATGCTTAACCTGTACACTAATCATCGTAAGTCATCCATAACAGGTCACAGGTGATCGTCTTGTAAAAACAATCAATCCGGCTTGTGTTTTGATAACAAGTATCACTCAGTTCAGGCGTGAATATTGACAAGAATTGAAGTACAAATTAAAATTTACCGTCCGGATAACTGAACCAATTTATAACTTAAAAATACATTTTGTAGTAAAAAAAAAAGAGCCGTCCGGATACGGAACGCGGAATTCCGGATAAATGAGTCAAAATTACGTTGAAAAAATCTGTTCACGAGAAAAATCGTCAGAAAGGTGAAGCGTTCGGATATCTTGCGTCCGGATATCTTAAGGTCCACTGTATGTATATTTAAATCTTGAGATTCATACTTTTAGGATTTCAACCTTTTAGGATTTCAATCTTTAAAAACATTCAGACTTTCAATCTTTAAAAACTTTCAATCTTGAGGACTGAGTATTTTAATATTCATTTAGTTTGTCTTTGATTCGTTTCTGGAATCCCGTCTTTCTTTGATAGGAATGACCAACGATCTTGCTTGGGCTAATTTTTTTTCGTATTCAGACTTCGTATCATCGTCATTGTTCATTAAGAGTCTCGATAAATCAGCTTGATTGGCTTTCATTAATGCCACTCTAAGTCCCATAAAAGCCCTCGATCCTCGACGTAAAATGATACAAATCAGTTTTCTGTTTTGGTCATAACTGGTTTTCTCGGCTTCTATTTGTTGCCTCATTTCGTCGGTAATTATGTTAGAAGCATACAGATGTTCCGCAACTTGAATTGCCATCATCTTCTTCACCAATATGGAGTAGTTTGCTTTAATAAGATTTTGATGTTTATTCTCCATCTCTGTTAACAGCAAAAATCTCACAAGAAAGAAAATAAAGTCAACTTGTATTCTCTCTGAGACTTACTCAGGACTGGTGAAATTCTTTCAAATCGATGAAGTTTATATACGATTTAATCACGAAGGTCTATGACTGAATACTGCCCTTGACTTTGTACTGCCCCTGACTGTGTACTGCCCTTGACTGTGTTCTGCCCTTGACTGTATACTGCCCCTGACTGTGTACTACCCTCTTGATCGTGACCTCAATTATGATCTATGTGGGTGGGGTTCTGGGTTTTATTGTTAAGTGCACATGTTTTCAATTTCTGAAGAAGCATAGGTAATAAAACATCCTCTGTTTGTTGAATTCTTCTCTAAAAATGAGCCCTATCTACGGCATACTCCATCCAGATTCCTTTCCGTTCTTCATAAGGAATTAAAATAATTTGCACATGGTCATTTAATTTAAGTTTTTTAGGCATATTTGTCCTTGTTGAATCTTTAACATTTGGAGTGTGGAAAATATTTTCGCGGCATAACTCGGCGTTTCAACAGGTATTCTTCAGATCCCCAGCTGTCCGCAACGTCATATTCATTTTTTCCTTAAAATTAGCAATGCATTCCTCTTTTCTGCTAAACCATTGACTCTCTTGTAAAAACCATTTCTTTTTAAAGCATTCCAGGCTACAATTTTCCATTTATACTGCTTTCCCTGAGTTTCCATCGTTATCACAGATCTAGTAATTTTATGTGGTATTTATTATAACATTTTTGTGACGTCTGTGACTGTACTCACCCCTTGACTATGACGTCAATTATGACCTAGGTGCGTGGGGTCTGGAAAACCCAATGACGTCATCTTGACTGTATACTGACTGTGCACTGTCCCTCTTACTACAATGAATTTTCACTATATAATCAACAGAGCCCCCCAACACAAACCCTTGACCCTGGGGCCAGAAAATTCACAATTTTTGGTTGAGGCACTCTTGCTCATTATAACTATGCACTTACTTTATTTGATACAAAGGGACAGAAAAGATTTTCAAAGAATTTATGCATTTTCACTATATAATCAATAAAGCCCCCCTCTTAACACCAGAACCCTTGACTCTAGAGCTATAAAATTCACAATTTGGGTTAAAGCACTCTTGTTAACTATGCACTTGGTTGGTTTATTTAATACAAAGGGGCAGAGAATATTTTCAAAGAAATCATGTATTTTTACTATATATAATCAATAGAGCCCCACCCAAACCCCTGACCCTGGGGCCATAAAATTCACAATCTTGGTAGAAGCAATAACTATGTATTTAGTTGGGTTATTTAATACCCAGGAGCAGAGAAGAAGATTTTCAAAGAAATAATGCATTTTCACCATATACTTATTTAGCCCCACCCTAGCACTAGAACCCTTGACCCCAGGGCCATAAATTTCACAGTTTTGGAAGAGGACTCAAAGATGATTACAATCAGGCAAACAGTTTGACTGCTTGATGTCCAGGAGTAAAGAAGAAGATTTTTAAAGATTGCATTAATTTTAGTGGTTTTGGCCCCACCCCTCAGCCCCCAGGGGGACAGGGATTATGAAATTCACAATTTTTGTTCCCCTTCACCCATAGATGCTTTGTGCCAAATTTGGTTAAAATTGGTTCAGTGGTTGCAGAAAAGAAGCTGAAAATGTTCAAATGTTAACACACGACGGATGACGCACGACGGACGAAATACGGATAGCAATAGGTCACCTGAGTTTACTCAGGTGACCTAAAAAGTAGGTCACTGTGAGATACTTTTTGGTCGACATTCTGCAAAAACCCAAGATGCATCGACTGACAAAGTTTGATGATTCTAAGCCAATAAGTACTGGAGAATACTGAAATATAGCCATAAAATGTCGAAAGTAGGTCACCGTAACCTACATTTTGGTCGACATTTTTCAGATTCCCAAGATGCATCTCCTGACCAATTTGATGATCATAGGTTTAAAGGTAATCAAAATATGCCTTTTAAACAATTTGAAAACAAATGCCTGCAAAATTCTAAAAGTAGGTCACAGTGACCTACTTTTGTTTGAATATGTTTTTAGGTCTCAAGATGCAGCAACTTACAATATTTGATGATTCTAACTCTTTCAGTACCTGAAATAATGGGATTAAATGTTTTGAAAAGGATAAGTCATAAAGTTCAAAAAGTAGGTCACGGTGACCTACTTTTAAGTTGACGTTGTTTAAGGACCCAAGACGCATCAACTGACTAAGTTTGATGATCATAGGCCTTAAAGTATCAAAAATATGCCTTTAAATAAATTTGAAAACATATGCATATGCCTGCAAAATTTCAAAAGTAGGTCACCGTGACCTACTTTTAAGTTAACATGATAGGAAGTCCTAAGATGCATCAACTTACAAGATTTGATGATCCTAGTCCTTAAAGTAAGCAAAATATGAACATTTTTATTAATTGTAAAGAACGAGGGCGCTTTTGATTGGCATTCGGCAGGAACCTGGGCGTACTTGAAAAGTGAAAATTTTATTGACATGTCACATGAAATTTCAACATTTTTTTTATCGGGTTCCTGTGCAACAGGAACGGAAAATATTTTCCCGAAATTGAGCTTTGATTTGCTAAAAAATAACTTGAAAATTGGCCATATCAGACATTTGGTACAAAATTGTACTTTTTTAAACACATTTTTCTAAAAAAAATTCTATGTCTGGGTCTTCTGTCCATGATTTTGAACGTTATTTGTGTGTATTGTAAGTCAAAGAAACGAATACACTTTTTTAAAAAATGGAGAGAAGACCCAGAGACCACGAAAAACAAACTTTTCCCCAAAAAATCCAAATGCGTCAAATTGGTGCGTCTTTGACCTTTTAAAAACATTTTTACGTGAGCAGCGGTGATAGCTCAGTTAGTATGGCTACCTGTTCAGTGCACTCGAAGTGACAAGTTTTTGGTTCGAGCCTGGCATGGGGCGTATTTTTTTTTATTCGGGCAAAAAACCATTTTATCAGTTTCGTTATGTACTGATGTATTAAAATTTTGAATAAGATAAATTTTGGTTCAGATTGGTTCTCAAGCGATATTAAATCCTTATCTCCAATTTTAAGTAATAATGTACATGTTCATGTATCATACATCTATGCATTTAATTTTAGGTTTAATTTTTGTGAAACATTACTGTGTTATAGTTACTAGGAAAAAATGCACATTAATGTTACAATTTCACAATATGTCTTTCAAACTAAAAAACTAACCCATGGACGTGTTTGTGAAATATGACCAGGTATGTGCAGCCAACCAAATCATGGACATTTAAACCATAAATGTTTCGTACAAATGATTCCTGCAGATCACCCGCCAAATGCGCCCATCTTCTTGAGGTCAAATTTAAAGTGACCTTGAGACAACGCCCTTTGCCCCAGGGTCATGCCTTGAACAATTTTTAATTTTCAACATATCCTGATCCTTGTATGTAAGTTAGGTGAAAATCTGCCAGGTGGTTCTGGAGAAGAAGATGTTTTAGCAACCAGTGCTTTTTGTTTTGTTTTCCTGATAATCTCCCCTTGATTCAGGGTCCCACCCTTATTTTAGTATAAATGGTAGCCCTTGGGCCAAGGATACCCTGTGACAAATTTGACACTGATTGGCCAAGGGGTTCTTGAGTTATGGCCCATATTCTAAAAAGTTAACGCACACCGCACAAATATAGCATTAGCATTAGCTATTTGCAAGGAGAGTGAAAAATTTGATAACCAGCAACTTATGTTGTTTATTCCATAGCGAGATGAAGCAACAGACATTGGGGATAATGAAAGTGAGTTTCCATTTGAGGCAATGTTTGAAATAAGAAATGATATAATTCAAACTGAAGCCCGTCATAAGCACCACAGTGATCTGGTGGAAGATGCTTTCAGAAACTATGGTGCTAAATCGACTACGACCATTCTTACAGAAATGGGTCACTTTTCTGTATTAAACTTACAAATATACCAAATTAATGACGTCATACTTCCAGAAAGGCCCTCCCTTTGAGCCATATTCTTTTTTGATTTATCATATTCATCAACTCAACTATTATTAAAGCCAATTTCATAACTTTTTGAGAACATTTAGTTTTTAGCGCACAATAAAGCTCAAACTGTACACTTCTTTAAAAAAAAAGTCGACACAGAAAAGCAAAACCTAAAAAAAAGTGGATGACTACTGATTGTTTAAAACTTATAAATGAAATTAAAAACAACTACGCAGCTGGGTTAAGGACGTCCATATCAAACAATGGAAAATTAGCAGCAAATAAACTGTATATTATTATTATTATACATTGTTTAATTTGACATATTCGGTTCAAGTACGGATTTTTTTCACAATAACGTTACCGACGTCAGCTGTTCATCACCTGACATACCAAAAATAGACAAGACACACCTTCCTTCTTTCAACACAAACGTTCAAGGTTATACGACATGTTTCGGGAAAAATGTGTATTACTTATGAAAAAGTCTGTTTAAATCATTTGGGGTATTCGACAATACAGAGAGAGAGAGAGAGTCAATCATGAATTTCCGTAACTTTGCCAAATTTATAATTGGTCGTAGTTCAAAAGATCCAGAGTGCATTCAATGGTGGTCATCAAAGCATAGGCGTAGTCACAGGGGGGGGGGCATTAGCCCCCCCCCCCCCCCCCTTTCCGATCGGGGGGGGGGGGAGAGTATGTCTGTGCCCCCCCCCCACTTTATAATGAACAAAATCACTGCGATCTTCCCCAAACATTACCTTTACTATAGGAAATGTCCATTGAAGGGATAGCTGCCCCCCTCCCCCCACTTGTTGACCCAAGTATAGTTATATCGAAGAATTATGGAACGCCGTGACTGCCTTATAGCAGAACACAACGATTGCATTGCGTCATCCTTCCATTACATTATGTCAACACTTTATGACATTTACTCACACTACTATTGCATTATGTCAACCTGACATTACATTATGTCAACTCTTTATGACATTAACCCACA